AGCAAGCAAAAATGAACTGTAGACATTTCAGATCTAAATGCGTGTTAATAATGGGTTTAATTACTTGCAGTACTGATTTAATGAGGAAATGTGGATTTTGTTTTACTAATAACCCGTAGCCTGGACTCTTCTTTAGCTCTAATCTTTTGGAGGAGATTGTTTGCATATACTAGAGAAGTTTGATTAGATAGCAGTAACTCCTTCTCCATGCCCGCCCGAGTATGTGAATGTAGTCCAGTAACCTGTTGCTGGTAATTAGTGCTAGATTCTGGAGGTACGCCAGAGGAGTTGTAAGATAATTTAACTACAATGAGAATGCTTCTAATCCATGCCGACTTAATAAATTGGGCACAGGTATGTTCCTGCCAAAGCTGGGCTGTTACACTTTGGCAATTCCTGTCCCATGCCAGGGTGTACCTAGCACAGAGAAACACCATTGCAACACCTTGTCAAACGTGAAAAGACTTTTTTAATCACTTCTTGGTTCAGGAGTTGTTGTTTGGGTTTCCTGCCTGGCCTGCTAAGCTTTCCCTAAGTCCAGCCAGTAGCAGTCTAGCAGAGAGGAGCCCAGCAAGCGTGTAGCAATAGTGACCCCACTTCCTATGCCCTGTGGTTCGGAGAAGGAGGCAGAGGCAGTTCCCACACTTGGTGGTTTTGATAAGCTTGATCAGAAGCAAAAGGTCTTGGTTTTATATCTTATGGGAACCCATGGGACAGAACAGGCTGGGCTCGTTACTGAGTTGCCCCATAAAAGGGGGCTTCTGCCCACACAAGTCTAGACATGCACCTACTGTTAGCAATACCAACTGTGCTTGGAAGGATACACCAACGGGTTAAGAATGGCATTCTGAATTTGTGGGATATTTTCCCAGTTGTTGCCACAAGTGAACACTTAATAAAAACATGATTTTGTTGCACATCACCAGCCCAAGTGTTGGTAAAACTGGGAATTCTTGCTCAAGGGGGCCTTTTACCATCCTGAATCAAGCCAATAATGATGATATTGTGGTGATAGGTATGTGGATATTCAGGGGCTCTGTGCTTGGGTGGGATTTTTTGGGGGTTTTTTTGAGTGAAAGAGGTTGCATGTGTAGTTTTAATTGGTTTGATTTTCAGCACTTGGCACTGAATGCAGTGTTTCCATGCTGGACAAAGGTACTGAGATCAGTAAGAACTTACTGACTCTGCAGAGGTGAAACTGAAATCTAGCAGAGGAATCAGCTGGCAATATCTCCTCGAATTAACCTTGAGGGAATAGAGTTCTTGGTGTTGGCTGCCGGGTGAATCAGGTTGTCTGGGCAGCTTGACAAGAGACTGTTCTCTTTGGTACGTCTCCCTGCAGACACCGGGCTGTGTGAGACTTCGCACAATCATAGAATCATAGACTGGCCTAGGCTAGAAGGGACCTTAGAGATCATCTAGTCCAACCTCCCTGTCATGGGCAGGGTCGCCTCTCAACTAGATCAGGCTACTCAGGGCTCCATCCAACTTGGCCTTGAACACCTCCAGGGAGGGGGCAGCCACATCTCTGGGCAATTTATTCCAAAGTCTTGTCACAATGGCTTGGACCAATGGAATAACGCATGGTTACAAGAGATAGGGTGGTCCTTTATGGTTTTCCTTTTCTGCTCTACTTACTTTGCACTGTCTCACATTCAGATTAAGAGCATGTGATGAGCTGTAATTCAGATTAACTGGCAGAAAATTAAATCTATATCAAAGCTGGGTTTTGACAAGCTAGGAAACTTGAATATCCTTTATCAGTTATGAATATCAGTTAGCTTATGAATATCAGCTGAGTTTTAGAGCTAGGCTGAGGCGATGAGTTTCATTGGAGGAGGGAAGAGCAAGACTCTCTCCCTTTGGCTGAGTTGAAGAGATGCAGTTTTGTAACAGGTGAATTAAAATTCCTGAAATGGAAGATGGCAGCGGCATTTCAGTTATTTATTTATTTAAAACAGATTGGCTGTAAAAATTGTAACATGTCTTCTGTTCTTGAGACTGATCTTTACTCCATTTTTTCTCTCATAGGTGATACGTGAAGATTTGAGAATCGGAATTGTAGATTAAATATGCACAAAGCAAGCTCTGAAGGCTTTTTGGGTTTTGTATGGGTCCTGATCTCTCTCCTCAGATATTCTGCTGTATTTCAAAACTTGATTTGAGAAAGTTTTTAAAGTAGAATGTCTCTATAATTGCATGTGTTTGTGTGAAGAATGCATTGCCTGGAAACTGTCCATTATACTTCTGTTGGACCTGAAGCTACTTTTCACCATCTGAAACGTGGTAACGATACTGCATTTTTAAATGAGTGTATCCTTCTTACTTCAGAAGAGCAAAATAATTTGAGTTTCCATCATTTTGTTAGTCTGAAGCTTAAGTCCAAAACTTTGAAGCCAGTTACTATTACTATAAACATAACTACAGAGAACCCTTTGAACTTACTAGTCTGTCAACAACCAGTCACCACTGACTGTCTGTTATGGTGACCTTGTTCTAACTTGGTTGCACTGTTTGGATTAAGCACTGGGCTATGTCTTTTCCATTGTGTATGTACAACTGTAAGAATGTCAAGTTATGCATTGTTGTTGTAGCTAAAAGCTCAAATTCTGTAATAAATTATGCAGACATTTTAAAAAGCGGTATCTTGAGAAGCTTGGGGGTTTTGTTTTCTTTGCTACCCTTCTGTAAAGGAATCTAAGACTCGGCACAAAACAAGCTTAACTTCATGCTGGGTAGCTAAGGAGAAGATCCTTTCAGTAGGCTGGAGAGTTTTCCCCTAGGAACCAATACCTTGGGTGTGGTGGGTTAAACTTGGCTGTCTGCTAATGCCCACCCAGTTGATATCACTCTCGCTCTGCCCTGTAGAAGAGAGGGGAAAACAAGATGGGAAAAACTCCTGGGTCAGGGTAAGAAACAGTTAGGGCAAAACAGACTTGACGATGCTCATTTATTGACAAAACTCATTTACTGCTATTTAAAAATAATAGAAGCAAAGACATTCTTCCTAGGTTCAACTTCACTCCATTACCCCTGACTCATCTACCTCTCTCCTCCCTGTGAGTGCTGGCAGGGGCTGGGGAGGGAGGGTTTTAGTCAGGCCCTAACTTCTGGTCTCTGCTGGTGTGTCCCCCCCAAGCCACCTTTCTTCTGCTCTACCATGAGCTCCCTCCCAGGGGCTGTGGTCCTTCAAGAGCTGCTTGACTGTGGATCCTGTCTCCACAGGAAACTGGCTGCTCCAGGGTTACCATGGAGGTGCCACCAGCCTGGTGGAGGGGCTCAGCTCTGCCAGCTTCTACTGGCCAGGTCTGGCACAGACCTCACAAAGGCCACCTTACAGCCCCTCTGCTACCACTAACCTTGCCACAAAAACCTGAGAGAAATTTCAGAAAGCGTGATTCTCCTTCTAACAAGCAAACCATGCAGAAGCATGCAGCAAGTATAGTAGCAGGTTGGAATGTTTTCATCAATGCACAGGGCTCTGAAATTCATATATTCCACTAATACCCATGATAAAAACCATAGAACTTTCTTCCTAATTTTTATAGTTACAGGATGAATCCAGGGACTGGGGGTTTATATATGTTGGTACACCTCAAGCAAGTAACTGTGAAGAGGCAGAAAGAGGTAGGTGCTTGCTGTAGTATCCTAGTAGCAACCTACTTGCTTTTTGGCAAGGCTTGAATTCTTTTAAAGTAGTTCTGTAGATTGCAATGCCTTGAAGCAGTAGTAATTGGTTTTCTGATGAAGCTTATTACTTTGCCATAAGCTACAGCAATTAGTTCCAAACAAAAGCCTAACCTCTCCATAAAGTGAGTTTTTAAATCATGTTTTTGAAGGATACTAATACATAGAAGTTCTTCAACTGCAGTAGATGTAAAGCATTACAGTGCAAGGTTAGAGCACAAGCTGGGTTAACTGGTGCTGCCAACACTGACTTAGAGCAAATACCCTGGGTTTTAAAAGGAATGTCTAGAATTGGAACAGACCTTAAATAAATGCTGCTTCAGGTGGCCTAATACACCTTAACTCTGGGAATCTATACGAGTCTAAGCCCTAATGACTAGAGAACACTTCTCACAGGACTTCTTACCAAAAGATTATGCCACACAAGATGAGAGATTGATAGGCTTTTCAGTCCAAGCAATTTAGCAGTTTGGAAAGAGAAAGCCAAAAGCCAGTCTTGACCTTACATTATCGATCTTGTACTTCATAAAAATTTGAGAAGCGAATGCAGGTTTAAAACAGCTTCCATTTATCAAGCAGCATTAAATTAACTAGGTAACTTTTCAAGTTATTTTCCTTAAATAACAGCAGCTGTTCTACTCTCAGCTTAAAAACGGTACTTCAGCAGACTCCTTCCTTGGTTTCCCGAACACCTGGCATCTGACACCTCAGTAGTACTTCTGACTATATGCTTGAGAAGGAAAATCTACTTATTTACTTACAGTAGCTGCAGGGCAAGTATCTGTGCAAGGTTTGAAGAAGCTCACAACTTAGATTTTTATCTTTCCTCAGTGAAATGTTTTTGCAAGCATGAAACAAGTGGGGTACTTCAACTACTGATGGTATGAGCCCAGTATTCTGGAAAGATTCAGTGATATTGAAAAGGGAAAGTACCACTGAGCCTACGGTGCCCAGTACTTCAGTTCTGCCACATTTGCTTTTTACAGACATTAAGGCAGACTTTTCCCTTCTCACAATGCAGGCCATTTCTGCTAAGTTGTATCCAGCTTCCCAAAGGTCCTACACAGTAAAGAAAGAGCAAGCAAGGCTGAAGCTGCTTACCTTGACACAAGTTGACCTCAGTTACTAACAGTTTTGGACAAAAAGATGGTGAGTGCCACATTAATATATAAATTTGCTGTGAAAGGGCAAGTATCATTTACATTCTCCCCAGAATTAAGAGCCTGTAGTTAAGGATATACACAACATACGCTTAATCTGTAGGCAAAAATGGCATTAGGTTCACACATTTCACCAGCTAAAGCACATGTATCAGAAAAAGCATTATTTATTGTTTAAATGCATAAAATGCTATTTATAATGCATTACATAATTAACCAGTGATTTAAGTTTAAAATATACAATTAATTGGTATAGAATGCTGGCAGGTTTTTTTTTTTTGCCAGTGACACAGTGGTTTTATTTTGATGTTTTCGTCTCTGACGGATTTTCCCCAGTGTCTAGTGTCTTCAGCAGTCTGAAAAGGCCAGCTGCTTCTCGTATCCGACTGAACTCAATGCAGAATGCTTGCACTTCTATAAACAAGTCCTGTACATTAATAATTTTGTTTCTGATTAAAGACTGCAGAAAGACACAAACAAGACGGACCAGGCGGTTCTGAAACAGAAGAGAGACAGTTTCATAATCCAAATAAATGTTCACAACCAAGTCAGTTAAAGGGCTTTTGGCCTTCAGCAGTGCAACTGAGGCATTTCAGAGTAATTTAGCTTTGGCAGCAGTTTTGTTCCCAAGCTCTGTATGTGCTGCCCCTGCCCTTCCATCTCTCACACCTCTACTGTATTTAAAAAATGGACTCCTCTGCTTTGTGGTACTGTACTTCTAGATACACGAGCTTTCTCAAGATTAATACCATGCACAAATGAAGCACTAGATCTACCCTCTGTACTGTTCATTATTTATTAGGTAATCTGAATAAAGTCAGAGAGAAGGGCTCATAGCTTAATATGATGTAATCACTAAAGTCTTAGTGTTACTTTCTACAATAACACCATAACCTCACATCTCAAAATTCCCCAGTCACCACACGATCGAGGCACTCCACATGGGAAGTGGCAGCAACAGAACTGATCCCAAACTCACTTTGTGCAAAGCCGCGCTGTCGCTCACTAATTACCATGTGACCCTCTTGCTCTGTCTGTATACATGAATGAAGTCGATCAGATAGAACTGAGGGGATGTGATTAAGTGCCCTAAATATTTCAGATTATTTGACACTGAAAGTTAGCAATTATTTTTACAAGAACTGATCTTAACTACTGCAGAATTTGCTACCTATACCAAGAGAATTCAGAAACTGTACGAGTTACTTCCTTCATTGTAGTCAAAAGGCATCTCATGTTTTCTCTGCAACACAAATTAGTTACAAGAGTAATTTTAAAAATCAAGGAACATGAAAATCAGAACAAAAGTACAAATGCAGGATACTGGCTGATTTCCAGTCTCTGAGGATCATGCCTCTTCTGCTTCCAACAACCATGCTTTCCAAACAAAACATTTCGTGTCTCATGTGCAGCACTAATAAATGTTAGATCTTATAAGCTTTTCTTTTTTACTTGGTGGTCAGTTCCTCGACCCTCTCCTCTTTTTTGGCCCCCCATGTGCCCAAAGCACAGGTGCTGTACACTCTCAGCAGACACTCTGGGCGCAGTGTCCCACGTTGTGGGCACGTTCTCAGCTGCAGCCCAGGCCTGCTGCTATTTTCCTGTTCTGCTACCAAATGTAACAGGGACAGCTTTTCGGCAGGTCACACATCGAGCCACCCATGTGCATCTGGCAGAGTCCCAAAGCAGAGAAGCATCAGCAGCCACCAAAAGATAACAGATGGTTAGTCATCATCAGGAAGGATACTGAGAACAAGGCCAGGGGGAAGAGAGGGGGAGTTGCTGCTATCTAAACCCATGCTGCACCCATATCTTGTGTACTGCATGCAATTTTTGTCTGTAGTTTTAAGGACATAGTAGAGCCAGAGAAGGCACTAAAGGACACCAAAAAAAACTTAAGAGGAAAGGAACGGCTGCATTGTTGCAGAGACCAAAGAGGTTGCAACTCTTCAGCATTGAGAGGAAAAAGCTGAGGCAGGACTTGGCCAAGATACACAAAGCCTTGGGCAAACTGAACATTGAACCATTTTTCACCGAGGGTGTAAGTTCCACCAACAGATCAGTTTAGGATAGAAGGAAGTAACTCATGCAGCATGTAGACAACCTTGCCTGCCAAAGGTGTGGAAACCTCCCCAGGACATAAAGATCCTTTAAGTGGCTACAACATGCAGGTGCCACTACAGAATCACAGAATGTTAAGGCTTGGAAGGGACCTCAACAGAGGTCTGCCAGAGCAGGATCGCCCAGAGCAGGTCACACAGGAACGTGTCCAGGCGGGTTTTGAATGTCACCAGAGAAGGAGACTCCACAACCTCCCTGGGCAGCCTGTGCCAGTGCTCTGTCACCCTCACAGTGAAAAAGCTTTTCCCTAATACTTTGTGGAACCTCCTATGCTCCAGCTTGCACCTGTTGCCCCTGACACTCCCCCTTGACATATTTATAAACATTTATGAGGTCACCCCTCAGTCTCCTCTAAGTTAGAGACCCAGCTCCTTCAGCCTCTCCTCATAAGGGAGATGTTCCACTCCCTTCAGCATCTTTGTGGCTCTGCGCTGGACTCTCTCAAGCAGTTCCCTGTCTCTCTTGAGCTGAGGGGCCCAGAACTGGACACAATATTCCAGATGTGGCCTCACCAGGACAGAGTAGAGGGCTAAAAGAACCTCCCTTGACCTACTAGCCACCCCCCTTCTAACACACCCCAGGATGCCATTGGCCTTCTTGGCCACAAGGGCACATTGCTGGCTCATGGCCATCCTGCTGCCCACCAGGACCCCCAGATCCCTTTCCCCTACGCTACTCTCCAGCAGGTCGGTTCCCAGCCCATACTGGCACATGGGGTTGTTCTTTCCCAGATGCCAGACTCTACACTTGCCCTTGCTGAATTTCATAAGATTTCTCCCCGTCCAGCCCTCCAGCCTGTCCAGGTCTCTCTGAATGGCAGCACAGCCTTATGGTGTGTCAGCCACTCCTCCCAGTTTTGTGTTGTCAGTAAACTTGCTGACAGTGCTCTCTAATCCCTCGTCCAGGTCATTGATGAATATATTGAAAAGCGCTGGCCCCAGCACTGACCCCTGAGGGACTCCACTAGACACAGGCCTCCAACCACACTCTGCCCCACTGACCACATTGCATGTGGTACTGAGGTACCAGCACTTGCACGCTGGTACAGAGGAAGTATGACAAGCTTGGGAAGCGAAGAGTATGGTGTTAGGAAGACAGAAAACAGAAGGTTTTTAGGTCTTTGAGGAGATCTGCAAGCTGTTGTAGGTCACAACTGAAGGGCGAGGCTTCCACATGAGTTTTGCAACATCTCCTCAAAGGTCTGGAAGTGATGGGAACGCTTTGAGAGAAAAAAAACATGGAAGCTTAAAACTAGCAGAAGGTAAACAACTAATGATGGGGGTGAAGAAAAGGCACTCTGAGTGACAGATAAACCTTTTGCATCTGAGGACTCCAAGTCACACAGAACCGCAGTTCTGCCAGGAGGAAATGTATTATGTCTACAGAAACACAGAGAACAGTAATTATCTGTGAAGTCTCATAAAAAGGTGAAGAAACATCTGTTAAACACTATAAAGAACTGCACAGTGTGTTAAGGGGGGAAAAAGTGCCTTTGAGGTAAAGAAGGAGCTATCAGCCTTATAAAATCTTAGTACCTATTACATAGAATAATATATGGGGCCCTTTTTCCTAACCAGTTTACTGAAGTACTCACCTGCATATATTTATCTTTAATCTGTTCACAGGTGGAGATACAATTGGAGATGTAAAGATGAATAAATTCAGGTGGGAGATCGACTGCCGTAGTAAGCCTGTTCAAATCAAAAAATATCCAGTGGTTTATGAAACTGTAAATCTAGCGACTCCATTGTAAAGCAGATGAGTTGAAACTAATATCACAGGTCTATTCCCAGTCACATCATACAGAGCTGATTTCTGACAGCTTCCACAGACGTATATCTAGTTATTTAAATTTCATTAAGAGTCCAAAACTTTTTTTAACTCTGACACAGTACAGAAGCTGAATTAGGTTGGTTTCTCGTACATTTGACACACCTACAAACACTTGCTATATATGACACGCATCAGTGATGCTAGTTTCCAATTTATAATCAAGCCCCTAAGCTGTCCCAGTACCAAAATTCTCCTGCAATAAGCACTGCAGTAAAATTTTGCTTATTCATATTTGCATTTCAGGTGCTGACTATCTAGATGCTGAACGCCCTCCTCACGTACATAGCCAGAATAACTCCTTTGTTACAGCAGAAGATCAGCTTCCTTAGTTCCTTCAGATCCAAATTTTGGTCCTAGGAACCGAAATGGTATGAATATCTGCAGCTCAAATAAGAGAGCAATATAGCTCTCTTAAGGTAACAACATACACCAACTGCAGCAGAACTGCCATGAAATTACAACAAAACTTGACTGAAGCACATCCAAGCCGTCCTATTTCAAGCAGTGAAAAGGAGGGTAAAAGGGAAAACAGCGCATGTTTTAGACATTTAAGGTTTTGTCCAATTTCACATAAAAAAAAATACTAAAAAAATCAGTGTCTCCCTGTTTGCACCAACATTTTGCAGTCATTTTGCAGTTCGAGAAAAGTTGTCGCTGTAATAGTTACGCTGTGGGAGAACCAGCATGTGTGACCGATGGTGTAGCCATCCCAGACAGGAGTAAAAGCTCTTTTCATTCCTCACGACTCCTTGTCTGTAGCCCAACTTCAGGGCAGTAACTGCTGTCAGTCTGCACCAGTAAGGAGGGAGTTATTTCAGAAACGATTCTTTCCTCAAATGTTATTTAAGGCGCAATTCAACTCTGCTGCAAAGAGACTGCTGAACAGGGCTGACCTGGTAGTTCACATTCTGTAATCGCCCAGAAACGGAAGAAAGTGGGAGAGATGTACTTTTGTAGTTTGTGAGGATTAGCTGCCTTAGAAGTTCTTCCTGAAGGGGAAGTTGAGAAAGTGGGTTGTACCTATCTGCAGAAGTTATTCCCAATGAAGACAGGGCATAAATGCAAGGCAGGATAGCTATTTAACAATACCCCTTTTTGTTCACTTAAGCCTCATCAAGAATACCACTTGAGTTTAAGCAGATTAGCTGTGTGGCATTAATTTTTGTGGAGGATTCTCCCAATAATTGCCCTTTGTCCCACTGTAATGTTCTGTCTTCCACACAAGCATACCTCAAGAAGAATCTAAATTAACATTTCTGGATGTCTTTATAAAACACAACTGCCATCTCAGTGGAAAGAGAAGGCACAAGCTAGAGATGAGGCTCATTTTCAGATATGAAAAAATTCATTAGGAACAACTGAATTGTGAGGGAGTGACAGTCACTACACTGACCAAACCATAAACCTTCAGGAACTGGTCATTTTGCAAGTCAGTAACTAAATTTGCAGCTTCCTTTGACACAGGACATGTACTTGCTGGTGGAATTTATACATTAACCAGGAACCTGATGTCTGGTTACAAGTTTAGGTATATTCTAGATTGCAGCGACAGAGCCTCCTAAGTGACATTCAGCTCCAAAGGGTATTTAAAATGATTATATCAAGCAGTTTGATAAAATTGTTTTCTAGCAACTAACAAATCCAGCTTAAGTTATCTACAACACAGTACATATTTCATAGAATCACAGAAGGGTTTGGGTTGCAAGAGACCTTAAAGATCATCTAGTTATAACCCCGCTTCCATGGGCAGGGACACCTCCCACCAGACGTGGTTGCTCCAAGCCCCATCCAGCCTGGCCTTGAGCACTGCCAGGGAGGGGGCTTCCGCAGCTTCTCTGGGCAACCTGTGCCAGTGTCTCCCCACCCTCACAGCAAAGAATTTCTTCCTACTATCTAATATAAATCTACCGTCTTTCAGTTTGAAACTGTTACCCCTTGTCCTATCACTGCAGTCCCTGATGGAGTCCCTCCCCAGCTTTCCTGCAGGCCCCACTGAAGTGCTGAAACCCCCTATAAGGTCTCCCTGGAGCCTTCTCCTCTTCAGGCTGAATAGCCCCAACTCTCAGCGCTGTCCTCAGAGAGGGCAAATAATTGCCCCATTTTTTTCCAATTAGAAACACTTTAATATTAAAGAGTAACACACTGTTTTCTTTGAATAAGCCTCTCAATTCTTGGAGAGAAACTGAGAAGGGAATGACAGTTTGGTACTTTTTTCCTTCACTCTAATCTGATTAGTAATTTTTTCAATTCCTGTTACTTTCTGGTACTTTGGAATGCATCCAAATTCAACCCTGTGGCCAGCATCACAATCACTTACTAACTGCTCAGTTATATATTTTACATACTTGAGGAAGTTGCCTTAGATTTGAGTTGGTACTCACCGATTCACAACTTCCATTGAATGTAAGGACATGTCCATGTTGACCAAGACAGAAAAATACTCTGTTATCTGACTGGATTGCATCAGTTTCAGTAGCATCTCTATAGCTACTAAAGGATTGTTTTCAACCAGGTCTGGCAATTTAGCAGGAGTGAGACCGATATGGTAAACAAGCTTGGGGTCCTTTTCCAATTCTCCAAGGAGCTGTAAAAGAAAAAAACAAACAAACACAAGACTCATTTTTTTCTACCCTTAACTATTCACATTACTGCTTGAAGAAACTACTACAATACATCACAGCTACAGGAGAAGGATAACCCTTGAGATTTAGGTATCTGTGCTGAAAGACACGGGAGATATACTTTCAAATTTCTAGGTAAAAACAACTGTGCCCATAAAACCTTTAATACAGCATTCAGTAGTCTTTCATCAGTGGAGGAAGGGGAAAAAAAAAAAAACACCAAGAAGTTTCAGTATTCTTTAGTTCTCTGCCCAGCAGAAAGAAACCTCAATTTTGAGTTCTGCAAATAAAGGATATTTTATAGTGCTAGCATAATAATTATCAGAAGAGTCCACTGAAAGCAGGAGTAATACTATCAAATCGATACATATAAAAAAAATTAAATACATAAATAAAAAAAAGCCACCAGTGTTGGCATTTCTGAAATACTTACTTAAAAAAAAACTTCCACAGAAGGACAAACGACTTTGTTTTAAGAAGATTTTTCCACGCAGAAAAATACTGGTGCCACTTATTGATCAGCTTCTACAGAAGGACAAACAACTTTGTTGTAAGAAGATTTTTCCATGCAGAAAAATACTGGTGCCACTTATTGATCAGCTTTAACTATGTCCAGTTAATGCCATGAAATACAAAGATTTCTTTCTTATTCATACAAACCCAAAGTCAAAACTCTTGGATTTTTACATCTTGA